CCGGCCCACATCTGGCCCGCATGGATTTCACATGGGCCAGATGTGGGCCGGATCTGGGCCAACACTATGTTGCTGTCTGGGTCTGCAGCGCACTGGCCCTCCAGGCCAAGATTTGAGGAACCCTGGTCTATTCTATATACCTATTCATTGTAAATTATCTAACAGCTAATTCATGTTCAGTGCGAGACTGATCGATGATTTTAAGTAATAAAGTCATCCTTCGTACTCAATGAAACATGATGCACTCACAAAAGGCTCTCTGCTGTGTGAGCACTGAAGTGATGCTTCACAGTTGGAAACAGATCTGTGAGTGAACTGAGCTATGGGGCACAGAGAACGTGCCATAATGTGGACTGACCCAATTTAACCCCTTAATGCCACTGGTTACAGGTCTAAAGAGAGATGAGAGCAATGAGTTTTCAACTATAAATAAAAGCACAGGTTGTATTGATTTCATGTGCATCTTTTACATGTCTAGAGTAAATAATGTCACAAAGAGCTATTTAATACTTGTTTTCCCTCCTGAAAATGTATTTCTGTATCAAAGCTTCACAAAAGCAAGCACTACCTCTGATAATACAGTTGCAACCACCATATTAAGTACATATAATATATAGAAAGAGCTATTAATTAAATAAATTATTATAAATTCAATAAAATTGATCTAGTTCAAGTCATACTCATAATATACAAAGATTTCAATGGTCACATTTGTGACCAGTCAGTGTTAAATAACTGATTGATTTACACTATAACAATGTATATTGATTAAATTAAATAAACAATCATTTAATTGTATTTTTATTTAGACATTTATTTGTATTTTCCCCATAATTGTGCTAATTTATCGTTTTCAATTGTCTTATTTAACAACTGCGCAAGTTGTGATCGACAAATTTTGACTGTCACTATTGTGACCAGACGTAAAACACACATTCACTAACTTTTTAACTAAAAAAAAATAATAATTAAGCACATTTAAGACTTAGATGTATTAAACTAACAGAAGTTAAGATCCTAAGTTTTAATGATAAAGCAATCGATCATTGAAAGTAACACACATCAATGGAAAAAAGAGCTCCATGCTTACTCGCCACGGTGAGCGCAACAAACCACAGTCCTGAAGCCATCGGAGCTGTCATCTCCTGCAGGAGCCCCTCCGTCCACACTTACATCAACTGACAGGCAAAGATCGCGTCTTTACATATCCATTTTCCCCGCACACTTCACAACGACAGTCCCTGCGACAGAGACAAACAGATGTGAGTACGCGAACACGCGGGATCCGGGCTTCTTATGCCCTCAGATTGTGAAAACTTCGAGCGTGTCTTACGCCTGGAGAGTTGTTCGGTTCCTTTTCAGTGATAATCAGTCACAAACACTAACGTTATGATAAAAGGTCTTTGGGATTTTCTCTTCTGCACGCGAACTGACTCGCGCACTGTCGGCAGACTGTGCAGACTTGACACCCGCGAGCGCAATCAAGCCATCAACTTATGTAAAAACAAGTTTTCTACCACTTAAATACAGTTCACAGTCCACAGGGCATATTATTACAAATATTTCAACAATCCATGTGTCTTTCCCATACCATCGATTTTAATGTCGTTTTAAATATATACACAATTTTAGCAGATGTTGATGGCCCAGTGTGATAATATAAGCTATGATAATTACTGGCTCAAGTGCACATGGTTAAAAGAACTGCAAATTGCCACTGTGTCTTGCATGGGTAATTGGCTAGGTGTGCGTCACGGGGGAGGAGAGTTTGCTGGTTGTGTGTTCTGCACCATGGAGCATAAGAAACGGTCTTAATGCACATTTACAGGAGTTGGTTTTTCAGTTCTTCTCCTTATGGGAGACACTGAGAAGTTGTCAGAAGGATTATATCTCACGAACTGTTTTGAACTTACAGAAAAGTATGTTGCTAGTTCAAAAACCCCTTAACGTGTAATAAATGTTGTTGTCAAAACTTATATTTTTTGCTATATACAAAGTAAATAATGTGAACACCATGAATCCACAACAGCATATTCAGGCTAGAATCACCTATATGATAAATATAATAAAGATACATTTTAACCAAAATGCATTTTCCGTAAGTATTATGTTGGGGAAATTTGGCACATGAGTTACTGGTCAAAACAATGGTTCAGTGTTACCATGTACACTTCTGGTCAAAAGTATGGAATAACTAAGATTTTGATTAAAGAAGCCTCTTTTCATGGCTCACCTAAAGCTGCATTTATTTGATTAAAAATACAGTAAAAAAAGCAATATTGTGAAATATTATTACAATTTTCTTTTTTAATATATTTTAAAGTGTAATTTATTCCTGTGATGACAAAGCAAACTTTTCAGCAGCCATTACTCCAGACTTCAGTCACATGATTCTTCAGAAATCATTCTAATATGCTGATTTAGTGCTCAGGAAACATTTTATTATCATCATCAATGTTGAAAAAAGTTGTGCTGTTTAATATTTTTCTGGAAACTGATTTCTTTTTTTTTCAGGATTGTTTGAGAAAGTTCAAAAGAACAGCATTTATTGGAAATAACAATCTTTTGTTAAGTCTTTACTGTTGATCAGTTTTATGCATCACTGCAGAATAAAAGCTTTAAAAAAGTTTTAATTAAATGGTATAGTGTAACACGCTTTCCACAAAAAAAAATTAAGCAGCAAAAACTGTTCTTCAGCATTGTTAATATTAAGAATTTTTCTTGAGCACCAAATCAGCATATATTAGTATAATTTCTGAAGGATCAGTTCTTTTAAATTATAATAATATTTCACAATATTGTTATTTGTTTGATCAAATAAATGCAGCCTTGGTGAGCATAAGAGACTTCTTACCAAAACATTTTAAAACTTTGACTACTAGTGTATTTTTTGTCATATGTTTTGGCCTTCACAACTGTTTTCCTTGTTAAATGAAGCTGAAAAGCCTATAGTAGGCTGTCTAGTAGCAAGTCCTTATTGTGACAACATGCCCCAGCCCACTAATGTCAATGTGTCACATTAACAGTAACATTTTTTTGTTGCCAATGATGGTGCAAATATTCCAAAAAATTGCAGCCAAGACTTTAAGACTTCATCCATAGATGAGTGTCAAGTTCAGAATGAAAAGAGCTCATTGCAGTTTACTGCAGTTTCTCAGCTGCTCACTTCAAAGGATAAGTATATTGCTAGAAAAGCATTGTTTTCTTAATTAACTTTCAATTAATTAACCCAATCACGGACGCAAATTAATCTCTCACACCCTGTCACACATAAAATCTCATGAGGAAAGATATCACACAAAACGTCGCAAAGCAGTGGACCCTTGAGGCGAAGTACAAAGCAAAGGCCTGACGTTATGGTCCTAGAACAGGACAAAATAGGACTCTCGTCTTTCCACAAACCCTCTGCAGTGAATGCACGCCTGAGTGTGAGAAATCAAGAAAGCATGAGAGCAAGAAACAGAGAGTCAAAGGAGGCATTAAAGTCAGTGATTCTACAAAGTGGCTATGGATCTTTAAACTTCCTAAGCCATTCATGCATACACAAACATTTTCATACACAAGCATGCACATACTCAAGGCTCTCTCACTCAGCCATGCCCAAATGTTACAGCCATTAGTGTTGGGTAAATGGCTGTTAATTTAATTTAGTCTGAGTGAAAGAGGACATCACATAATGTTACCTTATACAGACAAAAATAATGAAATACACAAACAATTCACTATCGATTTCTGCACAGTTACATGTTTATTCTAATATGCAGCCTTTTGAGGACACATCTGAAATATCTTTTTTTTGAGTCTGACAGTAACATTGTAGTATGTTAACAAACTGCAGTAACATTTTGATTAAATAATCTAAACCGAAAACGTCATCTTCCCAAAGCTGATGAATTGTTTTGCTTTATTCTGAGCACAATAAAGCATGTGTGGAGCAAATCTAAACATTAATGTGTGACTGCATACACATAAACATACCTACATTCACCGGCATTTACGTATTGCCCTTTTCTGACTGTCTGCAGCATGAAGTCTGGTTCGCCATCACTCGCATGCTCCAATTCCCCCAATAGGAGGTGTTTGGGAACAGAAGCAGACTGCAGTATAAAGATTTAAACACTAACAGACATTATTAGCTCACCATTCTGATGCGTTATGTTTACACATCAGAAGCACTCATCCATGGACTTTCAACATGTTCTTACACAGAACATGGCAGTTTACCTAATGCATATTCAGGATAAACCACTTTAATCTTCAGCATCTGGTGGGTGATGGTTAGTCACTTCAGTCATCTGATCTCCAGAAGGTGAAAATTGCTTCATTCATTCTTTGCTTGGGCTGAAAACACAAGCCAACTGCATCTGGCTGAGACAAATTAAATAAAACAATTGACTGTTTTAAAATTGTCTTTACAAAAAACATTAATAATATTGCACAAACCTTTCAAACCATGTATGGACATATGTACAAATAAATAAATAAATATTGTTTTTAACTGATCAGTGTAGCCTACATATTTAAATTGCACCATATAAAATCCTTGCCAATAACCAAGCCAATATAATTTATCAGAGGACGATCACAATTTCATCACTACTAGTAAATATTCCCACTCTAGTCTTTAACTTTCTGTGTAACATATCTACTATACCGTTTTTTTCCATGAGCTTAAAATAAACCACGTGTAATATCTGCCAATAACCAAATCACAGCGTGTGAAAAAATCTGCTTAATTTGGAAGACTGCTACAGGGAATGAACAACACAGGGGAAGCTAAATCTACCTAAAGAGTAATAAAAGAACATAATGTTGTTTCAACAACGAAGTCGAATTTCTGCCCAATTCATAAAAAAATGCATTTATTTGCACACTTAAGGTTTATTTACTTACGCATGGCGTGGCACTTTTACGTCTTTTCTTATAGCGCCATCTTGTGGTGAACTAGATACAGTCCAGGACCCTGCCTGACCGTGAAGATAATCAAGTTTGTGCTTTCTTAGAAAACAAGGATTCAGATTTTAATCTTAAAGGGGTCATATGATGCGATTTCAAGTTTTCCTTTCTCTTTGGAGTGTTACAAGCTGATTGTGCATAGATAAGATCCCTGAAGTTGCAAAGACTAAAGTCTCAAAACCAAAGAGATATTCTTTATCAAAGTTAAGACTTTACACGCCTAACACGCCCCCACATATCTACCTCACTATGTGGAAATATTTGCATAATGCGGCCCAAATGTTCATGCAAAGAAAGAAGACGTGGTTTCAGTAACCGCAGTTAGTGTTGAAGCATCATGTCAGGGAGACGCTGTGTGTTTCTAGACGAAAGCAAAAGCACTTTATTTGGCCTTCCGAAAGTAGATGCATTTAGGAATCTTTAAGATTACTTACAACAGAACAGCAACGCATTTTATGGACGACCGTTTC